GTGCTAACATGACTGTTAGGTCGAACCTGACAATTGCCATAATCGACATTTACGACAATTGGCCTTCCAGTGCGTGATGCGTAGTATATCTTTGACATCTAAATTAACGGAACGGAATCGACGTAATCAAAATTGTGTAGAATCTGCTGTTACATTATTATGAAGATAAACAGGAGGATATATTTATAGCGTAACCAGATCGAACTTATAAACCCGGAATACAGATAACTAAAGCGTTCCGTTAGGTAAATAATGGATTTATTTTTACTACATCTATTATATATTCATTAATAACAAATAATATTGTTAACAATTTGATCTTTATAATGCAACACATAAGAAAATTGAAGAAAACTGTTAATATAGCACGGACTGACGATTTTGACGCCTCCATATGGTAACATTTCATTCGACATTGGTCGATCGTTTTAGAGTCATATCCACACATTCAACTTTCAATTCTGATTATCAAGCATCAAATCTCACCCTAATAATCAGAAAGCATTATTAAACGAATTTTAATATGACGGTGTTTTTCCAAAAACTTGAGTGTTTTTGACAACAAACAAAGTTTCAGTTTTTGAGGCACAAAACACGTTTCAAAATGGTCTGAACTAATCCAAATATAATGGTAACATTATAAGTGAGGTCTCTAATTTACAATTTATAGTTTAATCTATTAATCTGATTTTTATCAGTTGTTATTAATGAACGTCCAGGGCACTTTTTAACTTTAACGTCTGCTGTACCTTCTGTAAATTATTTATATCGCAATTTTAATATATTTTTTTTTTTGCGTGGTCACAGACATTTTTGCACTGGTGACATCTCAGAAATTTTATTACACAAACTTGTAAATATTTCTATTGTTTAAGCATCAATCCCGGGTATGATCCTAACATGTAAATTCACAGTTTCGTAAGGTGATAATTCAAGACCATAATACGAATTCTCAGAATTAAAAAAAAATTTTCATTTCTCGAACCACAAAAGAATTCGAGGCATATGATAAAATTTTGAACCACTTTGGATTCAATATTGAATGGAAATATATAGCATATATGGACAAAAAAGATTCTTTTTAATATATTTTTGGTTTCAATTGATTAATTGCACCAAAGCTGACCTTTATCTGCTATTCGGACCTTTATAAAGTCATAAAGTAATATGTTTTTGTTGCAATATTCCTCAACAATATTGTACATATTTAATCAATCACTTTATCGAACCCTTTATAAATGACATTATTTTTGTTTTAACTTTCATTAAAAATACTATATTTTAACATTAATTATTGACACTTTTCAATATGTCAAATTAGTGCTAAAAATACTCTAACGAAAATGAATAAAAATAGTTGAACAGCAACTCAACTTTATATCTTTATTAAAACTTTAAGTGACTTGAACACTTTAGACAAGAAGGTAAACCGCATATGTGAGGCTTAAATCAAGCCACTCATTGGTTTCATAACTAATTTTGCAAAACATTCAAGCGATTTATTTTATTTTCTAGCGCAGGATATCTCATGACAGAAGCCAACACAATCACCATTACCACCGACGCCACAAAATTTTCATACATTTTGACAGATAAAACGAAAGTCCTTGCGCTAAGCAGATGTGGATGTATTGCAGCATTAAATTGAGTTGGGTAGTCTGGAAGCGTTTAACGTATATTTTTGTTGTTTACTTTATTGGGCTTGAGGACATTGATGTCGTACATTTACTTATAATAAATTATCATCTTCCAACGAAAGTGCACACATACTTTTAAACAAACTATTTCCATTCGCATTCTAATCAACAAATATTTGATTTTCAACGAGGAAATGCATATTTTGAAGCAATTTTCCACAGAAAATTTTTCTTATCTTTTTGATTGATATGTAGAAGAACATAAAATTCTAAATTAGCAGATATAAATAAAATTTATATATATAATTTTATAGTTCAAATAATTTCGTTAATTTATACATATTTTGACATTGTAAAAAATAAAACACGGTTTAATTAAAAGAAGTTTAGGTGATTTAAAACCAATTTCATAATAGAACTTGTGGATAAATATTATCGAGTCATTTATCCTAAATACATTTTTAAGCTATGTAGAAACAATCAGCGCTTTATAGCATAATAATTTTGTTCAAACTAATTACAGGTGATTGAAATTAGTAAATTTTAAATTTATTTTTAATCTCGATCATTTATATAGAAAGGCATAAATTTTTATTTTTAAATATGACATAAAATTCATATCAAACTTTTACAGCACAGAAATATGCTTTCATCATAACCTTATAATATACCTATTCAATATCTAATACGGCGTTTACATTGGCCGAAAATGGCTCATTTTGAATGACTCATTTGAAAGTGTTTACATTCGTTGTATTTCATTCGTTGTCATGGTAACAATTCAAACTGAAATAAAACTACTAAACATTTGTTTATCTTTTTTTGTAAATATGTCAAAACAGCTTTTACAAACTGTCAAAATGCCATGAAGAGCTTTCATTTAGGGTATGTTCAGGATTCCTTTGCGTTTGGAACGTATGTGGAATGCATTCGAACGTCATTCATACAGAATGTGAGAAAATTGCTCATTTTGTGCTTGAAATTTTATATGCAAGAATGAGCCATTCGATACTCATTTTCGATTTTTGACCAAAATGAGCCATTTTCGGCCAATGTAAACGCCGTATTAGTTTGTTATCCAGCTTTCCGGTTGTTCATACATTTATTTAATAATACTAGACTTTAAGCTGACTAATATCGAAACTACTACCTTTCTATGACTAAAACAAGCAGACTCAAAAATGAAAGAGTAGACTTTTTATTAGTATCAAATCAGACTGAAATAATATTAATAAAACATAGGTTCTTGTAGGACTGTAAATTTCTTTCTCAAGATTTAAATTAATAAACTTCAAATATATGATAAATAATGTTTAATATCTATATATATTAAAAGGAAAAATGTATATCTTATTAATATTAGTTTCTTACTCAATGATTATAACTATAATAGTAGTTACTGGGTCTTTGGAAGACAAGGAGTATACTCAAACAGTGAAACATGCTTACAGCTCAGATTAAGTAATAAACAAATACCTGTAGAGCATGAAATTGATTTACAAAAAAACTTTTCCATATAATTTATAAAAACAATTAGCCAAATATTATATATGTTCTCATTATAAATTGCATTTACAGTTTACGAGACAGAAGAACTTCTAAAAACTTACTAAAGTTATCATAAGAAGCTGTACTCCATACGGTCTTTGTTGATAAGCACATACCGTAATATTACGGTCTTGTGAATCTGAAAGCAAAAATTGAAAATGCTATGGTTTTTGTACAAGTTAAAAAGTTCATATCAAATATCGTATACGGTATATCCCATCATAAAAATTTGTTATTTTGGTTGAGTACACCCTGTAAATGAGTTAAAAACATCGAATTGAAATTGAAAATATCTCAACAAAAATGTAAGATTATTAATTTTTTTTTACTACAATGTATATGTATATACATGTCTTCATATATATAAAATTAAATATATGTTTATTAAATAGTTGTCTATTTCCTACATATTCCTTCGAATATTCTTCACTAAGAAACGTTTAGGTCATTCAATCTCTAAAATTGAATTATCATCCGCAATAATTGATCTCAAAGTTATGATATGATAGACTAACAACACGGATACGAGGCTAAACAAATAAGTTGTTTAAAAATCCATCAAATAAGCTTACAAAGGATGTCTCATTATTGACGCAGTTGTAGTATGTGGTAGGCGATTAGAAAGATAAAAATATAAAAGTCTTTCCATTTTTTGGTTCAGCCAAATACCATGAGCTAACATATCCTCAAGAAAGTGATTAACTTGATATAGTATTATTTAAGTTAGAGCAGAGCTGTTACAACTATCTAAGTTAGTTGTTTTTTGTACTGAACTTTTTAAAACCAAATTATTAGATGATTTTTATGCACATAACATATAACTCTTAGTATAGTATAATTCGGTATAAGCATAACAAGTTTTCGACAATAATTACTTAGACAAGTCTGGATATAATTCTAGTGCATTTAAAATACCTTGGTGATTAATAGCAAAGTCAGTAATAACTATATGATATACTATAAATGTTAAAACTTATATCAAATTTTTGGGCAACATATATTCGACTTTTTGTTCTGAAACAAACCAATATATAAGTATGTTTTGAGACAATTTGTATGTTTAAATTTGTCGCAAAATAAAGTTTCCGTGTTGTCTTAGTTTTATTGGTCGAAGTTGAAAAAAAAATAGCAATCCATTTCGCATGCACGCTTTCAGTTGATATACATATATGATATACATATACAGTCGAATCCTGATAAGTCGAAAACGCAACAGCATATTTTACGAATTGGAGGGGTTTTCGAATTATTGCGGTTTTCGATTTATTGCTGTACGAATTAACGCGATTCAACTGTATGTTCTCTCTTTTGTACAAGAGAGTTTTTAAAAACTTGTAAAAAAATTTTGTGCTTACTTTGATCAATTTTTCTATTATTTCGATTTTCCCTACGATTTTTTAACACATTTAAACACAATACTGATTACAAATCATTGTTATATACTTCAATTAAATAAATATAAAATAGCATTTTAATTTTGATAATTGTTTTTATTTAAATTGTTTTACGGTAAATTATTAAAAAAATTTTATGTGGGTAAAAAATTTTCATGTTTATAAAAATTTTTATATATATTCTAAAAGTACATGAATTTTCTAAGGAAGACATTATTTTGAACACATTTAATAATATTAACACTAAATTCGTTTTTGTTTAAAAAAATAGTTGACAATAATTGCACTTTTACCATTAAAATGACACAAAATAATATCTTTTAAAAAATTAAAAAAAATTTCCAAAAATTTCTAAACATTGAATACAATAATTAAAAGCTGACACATGAAACAGATTATTACAAATTTTAAATTATAGTTTTTAAAAGTGATGTACAAATAGTAAAAAAATTTTAAAAAATATTTAAGAAAAACTAAAACTTCTAAAAAGAAATTTGGACAATAGTTCATTTTCACTCAAGCCTACTACCATGCCCATTTCGGCGACACTTTCTCGAAATTCCACTCATTCGGATGACCTTCATGTTCAATACTTAATTTAGACGACATATCTGACCATTTAAAAGGTCCATTTCCAATCCGCTGCATAGCAATGGCTTGCATATCATTTCGCACTGATCTTTTTTCAGTTATCATTTCCAATTCAGCCAATTCGGACGCGTCTTCTATACTAACACTTAAACGATCATCCTTCAAAGATGATGTCACATCACTTTGTTCCTGAACTCTCACTGCAGTATTATCAGCTACATCATTTGATTGCGTACGTTGCACACGTAAAAATATTGGACCAGCAAAAGCATGATAATCACTCATGCCGAGCCTCGCATTATATGAAAACAATTTAAGATCAATGTTACCATAAGCAACCGATTCTTCATCAAGTAAATCGCCACGAAAGCCATTTTTGCGTAAATATTTATCTACAGCCTCAAGATTTGTTAGTTCAGCATTATCAGCGGGAGTAACATCAAAACTGAAATTCTCAGGTGATACACCACTAGCCTCGAGTATGTCTTCAAAATAAGGCACACCATTTGCAAACCAGGTTGTGTTATTATCATAAATAAAATTCTCAGTAACATCTTTCATATGCATTACTCCTGGCAACTGTTCAGCAATCCAAATCAAACCACGGTTTTTGTTATGTCGCTCCAAAATAGCAGCTTCATCAGCAGCGTTAACCGTCAGTGCAGCATCATCATGTTTATCATCTTCTGACAATTTTGTATACAAATCAGTCTCTGGATTAAGTTTGTTAAGGTCAACAGTGACCCATTGTTTGGAACCAGTAATTGGATGTTTTGACATAGCTTTAGCCCAGCTACGACGATGTTGTGCTAAACGGTTTGCGGCCATAACACGTGCAGCCAGTGGCAGAGATTGAGTTATATCGACTGCTTGCCAAAGTTTGATATTTTCATTCTTAATACCAACACCAGCAACAATAGCTTGTACTTGCCTTCCCTTCACTACATAGAAGTCATCTGTTGAGCCCAATATGCCAGGATAGCCAGTAAATGTTATGTCAACACCTGGCACAGTATTTGTGCGCTGATTAGGAGTGAAATGATAACGAAATTTATAACGTTTCTGTATTCTCAGCATAGAGGCATAACTGCCGGCTGTGCTGTGACCAAACAATAGTTTTAGGGCAGGCGAATCATCGGTTTGAAAAATTTTTGTTAGCATTGTTGCACTTGGAAGAAAGAAATTTTTAGTTACTTCCAAAGTATCAGTTGATTGAGTTGCATTTTGTTTCGGTAATACAAAATTTTCATAATAAATTTTAAGGTCTTGTATATCGGCTGCAGAGTTCATTAATAGAATATCGGAGAGTGGAATTTCTTCTTCGAGATCTGAACGTGCTCGCTTCGCACCATTTGCGTAACCGGTTTCTATACCCTCCAATTGATTGAAGTACAAACTAATTTGATGCCAATAGTGGTCATTCTCTCCAAGCTTAGAAGCAAGTTCTTTTTGCTTTACAAAGTTTGCCGAGGTAAGATCGCGTAACCACGTACAAAAGTTTTGAGAGTCTTCATCCCGATCACATGATGATTGAATTGTGCTATAAAGAAAATTGTAAACATTTTCTTTAATTAATAAATAATACATAAATTTGATTTCGAAATAAGATTCTACAAAATTTTAATTTCAAATTGTGAAGAGTCTATGTGTGTTGAAAGATATCACTTTAAAAATGAAAAAAATTAATTTTTTAAATTCATACGTATTTTTGCATGAATTTTTATATCAAGATCTTTAATATTAAACAGATTCATAGCTAAAAAAATGATTGAATCCTGTCAATATTATTAAATTTCTTTTCACTTTGTAGGTGTAAAGAGATAAGTATATTATTGAACAAAGTTTTTCCTTTAATATAGTAAAATCTATGACTTTTATATTGACTGTTTATTATATTTACACTATAAGAATTATTTTTACTTACTTGCGCCATTGATTGTAGATATTGTTCCATGTCAGTGAACCTTCAAGTATACCAGCAGCATACGCTTGTACCCAGTCGGGATATGAACGTTGGGTTTCCACTTCAAGTTGTGCCCAACTGAAATATACAGACAAATTTAAATGGATGCACATTAAATATATTTTCCGAATAAGTTAATATTTTAAATTATAAGTTTTTTGAATTTGTATTTTGATATATTATAGAATTTAAGCTATGGCCTTACTTAATTCACACGCCAAACTCGTTTCTTTTCTAAACAAGGCATATTCTTTCTATGGTCATAATATATACAATATATATAAAAAATTGAAAATCACATTTAAAAATGAAGCATTATAATTTTGACTTTATATAGAGGTTATTCTCTGATTTATATACAAAAGACGATTTGTTGAACTAATAATTAAAAAAAAAATTGTTAAGGGGAATGAACGTAACTTGGAACAAAGATAAGGTATATGATATCAATAAAAACTTTGCTTGAAAGAAAAATTGAAGTAGGTTATTAAATTTATATTAAATTAATTAATTAATTAATAAAATAAAACTTAGAGGCAACAAAAAAACTTTTAAAGATAACTGTACCCGTATGGGGAAATAACCGTAACTTGCTTTTAATCGAACCCAGATAAACGATATCAACGAAAATTTAATCCAAAACAATAAAATGTTTACACAAAAATAGAGGGTTTTGTCTTAAAGACACTTCACCGAAATAGCATATCTTATTTATCTCAAAATATTTCTAATTTTTTTGCTCATTTTGCATATAATATTACCCTACTATCTTGGGAACTATTTGAAATCACTCTTTAAAATAAACTAGCTACTCTTTCTTTAGACCAATACACCACAATACATATGTAGTTATTACCTATATTACATATGTATATCAAATATAACAAATTTTATATCATATTGTATAAAAGACTTTTTTACAATTCAAAAATTATAATCAAACTGCTTGTTATAGACTTTAGATACTAAATAATATGTAATTAAATCAAATAAAAAATTAATTTTGTACAAGCTACGTCTCTTTTAACTACTTTACTATTATATTAAATAGGTTCAACTTAATAACATAATTCAACTTACCCATTTTCAAATATTGAATCCTTATAACAAATTCTAGCTACACCTTGTGGAATGTTGAGAAGATCATTTTGTTGTTTCCAGTATTCGATTTGAAAGCCCACCTTACTCGTCCAAAATGCTGTGGCACAATATGTGCCATCGTATTGTGGACTTTCCATATCACTTATGAAGAATGCGCCAATCACAAGCAGACCAGCACCAATAAGGATGTAAGTCCCTATTCGAGTCTTCTGCCATGATGCGCCAACAACTTTCAATATTGTTCCGGCCGTTTTGAAGCTTTTCACGAATACTCAGAGAAAAAAACAAAATATATATCCTGGCACTATGCACTAAGCCAGTCAAATCGCTCTTTATAGTTATTTTATATATTAGCCAAACTTATATTATCCAAAAATATATTATTTTAGATAATAATTAAGATCAGCGCGTGCAGCGTATGAATGTGCTACGTGGATATTGATGAGCTCGTTGCGTGGAAGAGCTACAACTTTAGCTGAGAATACTGGTACTTGGGCTATGCCGTAGCAAATGGTAGCGGCCACACTCTCTGTTAAAGCGACCGTGTTGGTCATCGGTGATTGTTCTTTTGTTTATTAATTTTAATAACTTTTTTTGTAGATCTTATAGGTTATTAATTTTTTTCCTTGGTTTAGTAATAATTGTATTAAGTACTACACAGACTTTTTGTAGATGAGATAGTTATTATATATTGTATATTGGTGGGTTGTTTGGATGGTAAAATTTGGACGTTGCTGTAGGTTTGTATTTAAATTTTAATAAAATCTTGGAGTAAAATTTTTAATTAATTTATGTTGCTATTAATGTAGTATAAATAAAATTATAGCCAAAGTTTGTAAAATAATTTTGTCTTTTATGAATCGGAGTTAAAATTTTAGTTGTGGTAAAAATTCCCTGGAAATAAAAGAAATGAAATAACTTTAATATAAATATTGATTGTGTAGTAATATAAATTAATCAAATATTATTAATTTCAAGAATTATAAGAAACATATATTGAAGACTATGTATTAAATAAAGGCAACTTTAATTTATTATTATGTTATCAACTAGAAGTAAAAAATATAAAAAAAATATATTTCAAATTTTATAATGTACGCTTATCAATGGTTAGTATATTTTAAATTGTTATTGTTTTTGTTACTAGGTAATTTAATAAAAAAAATTAATATTTTTTTTCTGTTAATTATTTCATTATCTGCTCGACTATAACATTCCATTCATGATCGACAGTAAATAATGATGATTTTTGATTTCGGGAATATATTTTGTACCTGTCGAAATTGTACGTGTGCAAAAGATTGCCACTGATTTTCCAAAAAGTAAATAAAATTTTAACATTTTTCATATATTTTTATTTTCTAAGAAACACTAACATTGTTTATTTATTAAAAATATATTACATATATTTTTTAAAATTTTATTTGATTTAAATTATTTTGCAATTGTTATGGTTTTCATTTGTGTAAACAAATAAAAGTTTTGTTTTCTGCTTTCACATTCTAATGGTTCCTATACAATTCTACTGACGTCATTAATAAAGATCCATCCAACTTATGATGTCATTTTGCAACAATAAAACTGTTTATTTACTACATACCTAAATAATTAAATTAAAATTTTGTTTGAATGCAACAATTAATTTTATATAAAGAATATTTTCTTTGATTATCTGTAGTTTGGCTAAATTCAAATGTTAAAATTGCTTTAAAAAAACAAGTGGCCTTTGTAATATTGACCGAATTGTATCCGTACAAAAGTACATTAGTTTACTTAATTCTTTTGCTTTCCATACGTTAATCTTAAAGATAAACAGAGTGCGACCATGAACTTATTCTATTATACATGAATACCGAAATATTTCAAAATCGGATTAAAATCTAAACATACCAAAGAAATATTTTATCAAAGCATTTGTAAAACTAATAAATTTTATTTAAAGCTTCACTTAACTCAATACTTTATGGTTTAACGTTTTTGTTTAATAAGAATAAATATTTATTATATAAAGTTAATGTTTAAATATTAAAGAATAAACGAAACACATTTAGGATTGACGCAAATTTCTCTCAGTTTTCATATGAAATAGAATTTTACACTGCTATATTATGCAAAGTTATATTACATACACATATATGTATATATTTATAAATGTATGATATATAAACATATTATTATCATATAAATATTTGTCATTATGAGGAAGGAATCTTGGAACTCAAATATCTTTCAACTTTTATATAAAATAGAACATCATATTATTGTATTATGCAATAGTATATTATTCTATAGTATATATATTAAGATATACGATTATATTGTTATAATATACAAACTTCTTATTATTAAAATGGAATATATTTTAATAAAAGTATTTAAGAGAAATTTATATCCTTAATATTAAAGAAATATTTGATAAATTAACAATACTTTAATTTCTAACTTTCTAATCTAATTTAACTTTAAAGTTCAATCAGTCAAGATAGAGAGTAAAGTTATTTTATAAAATCACAAACACTTTGAAGAGCAGCGACGTATAGAACGTCAAAAGACTGCTCTATCAGCAAAAGTTTGCCGCAAAAATACAGGATATAGTTTTGAAAGATCCCCAATTATCCGAAAAAAAATGTTTAGAAGCTCTAAACTTTATATTAGACATAGTAATGAATATTTTATGTCAATTTTTGTCTTTCAAAAAGCTGTGTATCACATCTATTAATCGCATCTATTAAATAGCTAAAAAAAATTCTATACATCGGTCTATATTTTTAGAGAAGAGTTAACTCCTTTTGATCCTGAATCAAAACAAGAGACTAGTATGAACTAGCATAGTACGAACATGATCGAGAGTTTTGACGGGATTGTATCGAGAAATCGGACGAAAAGGAATTAACATTTTTTGAGTAGAAAGTTTGAGTACTTTTTGATAAATTATTTCGAAAGTAACATAACAATGAACTTATATGTATTGCAACGTTTGATATCAAATGTATCCTACTTACACAACTCAAAAACCTTCACTAAATTCAATGAATTGAAGTATGAATTTTTGTAATAACTAGTCTATTCACTAAGAAGTCTAATCACTAAGAAGTCTATTCATTAAATTTAATTCTATCTTATTTCTGGTTTTTCTCACACCTCTGAATGGAGAAAAAAATGGAAAAACGCTTTTGTGAAGACCGATTTTCAACAAACGGATAATTAATATCTGCCTTAGAGTGATATTTTTCAGATTTTCTAAAACCACATTTTAGAGATAACAGCCATGATTTGAACAGTACTTAAATTAAGGTTACTGAAGCTATAGAGGATTACAGTATCATTCATAAATTGAGAAACCTGTTGTTCCATTATTATACTGAGAACTTATTAAGGAATCTTATATATAAAAAAATTAAAAGTTCAAATTTCTAACTTCTCCTTAGAAATGTTTATAAATTTTATTTATATTTTCAAATGCCTCAATTTAGGTAATGACAAGAAAAGTCGGTCTAATCATGTCGACCCTAACGAGCTACGATCATATTATGTTCTTTTAAAAGAAGATTGAAAACTTTCGCTAATACATTCAAGGGACGATATTTAGAATAAAGCTTATTACATGTAACAAATTGCAGTATATATGAGAAATATATAAATACATATTAAATATATAAAAATATATTTCTAACTATAAAGTTAGAATAATGCTTATTACATGTAACAAATTGCAGTATATATAAGAAAGATATAAATACATATTAAATATCTGAAATATATTTCTAGCTATGAAGTTTGTAGAAGTAAAATAATTCTTACACAATATATAAATTGATACATTTATATATACTACCCACCAAATATATGTATATATTCAATATTTGTTGCACTTTTAGTAAACATTTAATTGGCATTAAATTGTTATATATATCTTATATTTTTTATTTTTGAATTTCCGCACTTAAATTGTTTATGTGAAATAAATTTATATTTTCTTTGATTTTAAATTACCTTCAAATGTCTTCTTAAGGGATATTAAAAAAACATATTTGTGTATATTTTTCATTTACAAATTTATTTAATGATGTTCATCAATTCATATATAGTTTTAAATTGTGGTTATTGAACCTAAATATAATTTCCTTCTACATCAAGTACACATTAACCCTTATATTAATAACAGACTTATCTATATGAAACCTTGAATTTATTGTTTATCATTTTTAATTGTGTTATTAAAGTCCACTCATAATTTACGATAAAAGCAAAACCAAATTTTTATTATAAATCCAAATTGGCTGATAATTTTGTTTAGGTTAATAAACTTAAAAAATATGTTCAAATGTATATGAGTGCAATTGTTCCATTTAAATTAATAATGTTTTACAAACTGTTTACAAAATTCAGAATTCGTTATAATTTATTTGAATAAAGTGTGGCTAACATTTTCGGCCAATTCACGAAACGCAATAGAATTTTTTCGCAATCAAATTTATGAATTGTTTAAGAAATAATTAACACTTTTTGGTAAAATTTTTATTATAAACAAAATTCCTGTTTAACACTAATTGGTTTAATACTTAATTTAAGTATTCACACTGTGGCTAATAAAACAGTTTAAAACAATTTATAAATTACATTGTGTATTCAATGTGGCATAAATGGATTTTTATTTTGTAAAATAATAACTAATTGTATTCATTAAGGATTATCTAAATTGAAAATTCAATTATTATGATTTTTCTATAACAAATAAATTAAATCCAAAAAATTCTATAGCAAATAGGACATTTAGACATTTGTCATTTTATCACTTTATCAAATACTAAGTTACCAAAAAACCGAGCAACATTTGAATTCCATAAATATAAGTTATTAAATCACATCACTCAGTAAAAGTATGTTTCCACTGCTTACTGAGTAAGTGTATCTTATTAAGTAAATTTCATTAACCATACAAAGAGCTTCCATTCTTTTTAACTTACTTAAAAATAAAGTAACTAAAATTAAATCAAAAATGTCGAATGCAACCCTTAAAAACAAATTTCCTACAAGGCAAATTACCGAAATTTTGAAATATTTGTCAAATGTACACAGCTGTGCTGTTAACAAACGTATTGAGAAACTGAGTATTTAATAAAATCTTTGTTTTTATTAATTGAATACATGAAAGATTTATAAAATATATATGTATATATATGATTTAGGACGTGTGCGAGTTAGAGTAAGTTGATGTTAAACCAAATGGGAGATTTTTTGGGATTTTTTGCACTGCACACATTCAGCCATTTATCAACACGTACCTAAATTATCGGCACAACTTAGAATTTCCCTCATTTAGAACGCAATTTAGCCTAACTCGCACACGACCTTAATATACTAATTATATATTTAATTTTTTGTGTGAAGTAGTATTGAGTGAAATTTTTCTAAACAAACAGAAGCTCTCTTAAAACTATCAGAGATCTTTCTGACACATAAAAGTTTTTTTTAAGCTATAAGAAGCTTATATCAATGGAAACAAAATCTTAAAGTTAACTAACTAACTTACTAAGTAAGCGGTGGAAACATGGTTTCCGGTCTCGCACATATATGGCAACACTGTTGTATCCTTCAAACAATTCATGTCAAAATTTCAAAATAACTTGATAATTAGTTTACAGATCGCAGTGATTTCGGCTGCCATAGTTTTGAATAAAAAAGAGTTTCATCTGCAGATTTGGAATTATTTTTTAATAAGTAAATATACTACTAAACCTAAAAAGTGACATGATGGGCATTATGAAGACTCTGCAACATGGAGATCAAAAATTATTGACTAATATGCAAAACTTAAACAAATCGCATCAAACACTGATGATACTGAAAGCTGTGATCATCGAAAATTAGTTATTCCGGAAAACAAAAGTCCACAAAATATTATAGAAAAATGATAAAGCAAAATTGCATGAGATAGAAGACATATTAAAGATATCTGAAGATATCAGAAGATAGTTTGTTTACAATTTCACGCGAAAATTTGATATTGAGTGTGTACTGGACTTTTAAAGTCATGAAAAACCCAACAACAAATAAGTTAATGAAATACGCTTCAAATCACCTCCCCAGCACATTTTACTCTTTAGATATGGGCCTCAGCAACTATTGAGGGAAAGAAGATTTCTTTCCACGGAAAAATAATTGGGCTCCAAAGAAAAAGTTGAGGCTTATTTTAGAGCAAAGACAAATCATGTTATAAAAAATGCATTGGAAAATTGGATGAGCGTTAGAATGCATATACGACTCTTAAAGAAGAATGTGTTGAAGAATAAAATCTGGACTTCCAAAACAATAATTGTTTGTCTTAATTAGACTGGAGACTTATTAAGTAATATGTTATCAATTCCATGTCATTATATATTATTATAGTTGTACATTATGAAAAAAATACTGAAAACAGAAGAGACTTCCTAAAATCAGATATTTTTTCATCCCAAAATAACCAATAATATATATACTACATATATACATAAATATTAATATGAATGATATCAAAATTTTAAATATTGAATATAAATTATTTTCGAACAATGGCAGCTGTTTCGAAAACGATTTTTATGACGTTTTTATGTTAATGAAAAATTTTAAATTACTTCCTTTTTATATAAAATCGTATTAAATTATTTGCAAAATAAAGATTAAGGAGCGCCAAACAAAAAAAAAATAATATATATATATTTTTAAAATAATTTTTAATACTATACCACAAAATCATTTTGTTTTTTGTTTTAATTCATTTAAAATCAATTCAAGTAGTGTGGAGATTTTCACGTGTGTTGAACAAAACAAAAATGAATATATAAACAATATTTGATTTGTTATTCTCTAAAGAATTTTAAAATCATTACCCACAATTTTAATGCGGTAATTCTGAAATAAAATTTAAAATTATAAATAAAATATATACGCCATAAATAAAAAAAGATTTCAATTGAAAGTAAATATATACGAAGTTTGTTACAAAAATCTGTAAATTAAAACTGACAGTTCCTGAGGCACTGTTTCTTTCGAAGATACATAGAATAGACACAGCTATTCACAAACAAAATTGCAATTACATGTAAACATTAGTTTTTAAAATGTTTTAAAATAAATTTATTATACATAATATATTCTGATGAAATAAAGATAAAATTAATTACTGAATAAGTGATAATATTATTCATACTATAGCAGGCGAAGCCACGAGAGAACTATGAGTCATTAACCCTAGTTCCTCTAAATCACTGAAATAAGACTTATTGAAAAATAAAATTAATGTATGGCTCTTATTTTAAAGTAAGTAATATAGGAATAGCGGAGTTGAACACATTTCTTTGTGAAGAACTTATTGTTATTATTTTACAAACAAGTTTATTTGATTATTTTCTTTATAAAATTATTTTATAGGTTTTAGTTTTTTAGACGCATTGCAAAAGTTCCTGACTATGCCCATACAAATATACTATTATACAAATGTCTAATCATAATTTTTTTATTACAACATAAAATAAATTTATTTAATAATTTTTTACTTTAGATTTAGAAAAGAACTACCATTGAAAAAGTCACGTCTAATGGAGGAAATAATAAATTCAAGCATATTTAAAATTTCTCTTATTCTATGTGTAGTATGTTCAAACCCTTTTCAACCACTGCGGCATATATTATTGTTAATAATATTGTTAAAAGAAATAATCATCTCAGATTTCAATTATTTTTACATCCTGACTGAATCCTGATTTAATTATCAAATTATTTGTAATGCTGTTAAAATGCACTTTTTTATATGGCCTTGGGTACATATTTACTATATAAACAAAGCCAAATTTTATTATAATTAAAATGAGTGTGATATTTAATATTTTTTGTTAGTTGATTTTAAAAATTTTAAAAAATATGCTTACACTTCTTGATTCTGAAGTCTTGGTTTTTTTTTGTATAAATTAAAATCTAAAATATATTTATTATATATGGTCACATATTTATTCAATAGTTTATTTTGAAGTTTATTTTACTCAAATTAGCATATTTGATGTTATAAAAATTTGACAGAAATAACTTCACAGTATCATAATTTATTCATAATTGAAATGTGTATTTTAGTAGTTAGTACCATTTTTTTTTTTGTCTAAGTCCAACTTATTAAGTTAGTGAGTACTAATTTATTAGTTGGTCTAAGTTAGTGAAACCAAAACTTGACGAAAAATAAAAAAGGGATTTCAGAAGACACTTATACTGCTAAAGGAAAATACCTGCAAGATTGTGGTTTCTATAACCACATTCATGATATTAATTCTGATTTCTGTAGAAATCAGTGGAATGCAATCAGATTTGTATTGACGATAAATAAGAAGAAATAATCACAAACTTTTCATTTGACTGCCTGGTTCTTAAACGATTTGATTTTAAGCTCTCGGAGAGTTCACGAAAGGGTTCATCACTAAGTTTAGATACATTCCACACTTTAATGGGTTTCAAATATATTTTAAGTAAAAACTGCCGTTTAGATATACCCAACTCTAATTAAAAGCAGGGCAAGACGTTTAAATGATTTAATTTTAAGCTCTTGGAGTATTCACGGAAGTGTTTATCACTAAGTTTAAACACATTCCACACTTTAATAGGTTTTAAATATATTTGATACACAATGAAACCGTAGGGTTTAAGCGAGTTAATCAACTAGAGCGACTAACCTAGCTATAAAATCTATTATTAACTATTGACCAATTAGCTAATTAATTAATTAATTAATTAATTAGTATTATTAAAATAAATTAACTATTATCTTATTAGACTTCTTGTTAAAATCACTTTAAATTTTAGTTTTTTCATAGAACAGAAACAAGCAATAGATTGTCTTCCTTTAAGATAAAATATGTAGGTATATCTATTTAACTAAAATTACAATACAATCTACTAACTATATTTTTACTAATAATTTGTTTAATTGGTTTTAGTTTTAGTTATAAGATTTTGTAGTCGAAAGCATTTTTTGGTGGTTTTTTCTGTGCACCGTATATTTCGACTAATATTATATTGAATTTGGCTAATTCGACAATACTTTTTTTATGTTGGACCAGGAATCGTTTTACAATTTCGAGTCTATAAACGAGTTTAAATATCTAGACGTAGTTCTCAGCACAAGTAAAGATGCGACTATTGCAATACAAGATCGTATTCAAACAGCTAACAGAGCATATTTTGCCCATATTAAGCTTATGAAATCAACGTTACTATCAAAGGAACAAAAGTTGCGTATATATAAGACTGTCAATAGACCGGTTCTTACGTACGGCTGCGAAACATGGGTCCTTAAATCCAGCTACAACAATCTGCTACTGAGATTCGAAAGAAAAATACTCACGAAAATATTTGGCCCGGTGTGCTTAGAAGACGGCACATGTTGTATACGATATAACGACGTATTGAATGTCTTGAACGAAGGCCAAACTATAAAACGATACATAAAAGCCTAAAGATTGCGCTGGTATGGACACGTCCTACGAATGAGTAACGAAAGAATGACTAAGAAAATTTTCGAGACAAAGCCAGAGGGGAGTATAAAAAGAGGACGACCGCAACGAAGATGGTTACAATATATAGAAGACAACATATGAATGGTCCATATCCAATATATCACTGATATTCCTTTTTTTATATTGAACCAAAAAATTATTTTCTAAAAAAATAGCTGGTAAACAAATAGTCTATATATTGTTGTTCCTAATAATGTTATAAGCTTTTGTTAAAACAGCTCTCTTCTGTTGAACACCTCCATCAACATAACTTTTAATACAATCACTTATTTAAACATTACTTTTTTAAAACTATTTTATAAAAAGTAAAACTTCTATTACTAATTATTAAAACGATTATTGAGGATACATTAACGCACTTCTATTTTTATTTCTGCTTGTGCTTCTACTGCTAACTAAGACTTTTTCTCTTAAAGATATTTTATTAAATAAATAAATATTATAAAAAAAAATACAATTGATTTATATTTTAACAATTTAATTGATAGTTCGGTATTAGTCTTGTGATGCTATTATTATAAATTGCATCAAACAGTTCAGAACTAATCAAGCTTGATATATACATATACAAGATATATGTAATTTTCGAATATTTCAATAATGTTTATTTATTATTGAAATACTTTGTAGCTTGCAGTAACCATTAACGTTCTAAACAATACATAAAAAAAAGTAATTATACTAATTTGCCTTTTTTACGTTTTTGCGCTATTTTTGCTTTGTTACTAAATCACTTAACAAGTAAGAATAATTATTTTAAATATGAATTTTTTTTACTTATTTAATTGTTTTGTGTATATAAGAAAAGTATTTTAATTGCTGTGCTTACAACCAATTTAAGTACTAGAAATGTTATGTAAATATCGCTGTTATTTATCAAAAAGCAAAAGGAGGAATTTCACTAAATCATGCAAGTTTTTTATTACTCATTTTATAGTTCTTAATTAAATTTAAATTTGTGGTTGAAATTTATATATATTTTAATTAATTGATATTGATTTTAAAATGATTGAATAGCTATTATCATAAAAATTAGTTTATCTTACCTTTTGGTCCCGGGTTCAGGAGTAAATATTTCTACAAGTCACCCCATTGATGTACTAAAAACAAAAAGATATATAAATGTTAAATAAAAGAATAAAATGCAATATTAAGCATTTAAATAAAAGTATCTTAAATACTAGTAAAAAAAACTATTGAGTTTGCGAATTGAGATTTCAAAATGATCTTCTATTAAAGTCACGTTTTTATTTTTTATGTTTATACAGACGTATTCTGTTTTATAATTGTGACTGATAATGATGTTAATTCTTTTTTATGTACGAACACACTGAGCAATTATTAATCTTATAGCAAATACGTAAAATGTAAGTATCTTTGAATTAATAATGTTGTCTGGTACAAATTTTGTTTATTTGTTTAAAGAACTTCAGTTGGCGCTATTTGCGCACGCGTTTATTTCATGTCGTCTAAATGATGCGGGCACGATTTTATCGCTTAACAACAAAAGAGATTATATCCAATTTGAAGTCAGCAAATATCAGTTATAAGATACATATATAGAAATTGTAAGAAATGAATAAAATGTCTAATATACAGTTTATTTTATTTATTTTTCGATAACAGATTAAGTAGGCATTATGCTACGCCATAAGCAAAGTACTAAAGAATAAAAGAGAACTACATCTCCATATTATCCTTATAATAATAAACTAGTTTTCAATACCTACATTAATCATTTCTTTGAGATACATTTTTTTTGCACTTTTTTATACAAAATGTTTTATTTTTTTATAACTAAATTTTTTTTCTCAATTAACATTCAATTTTATATCCTTCATAAAACCTATTATTATTATTTTTTAAAATTCACTATTTTCACTCAAGCGTTGACACACACAATAAACTGTACCACATACGATCATTTACTACTTATCAACCTAATTCCCACAGCAGTTTTTGCCTTAAAAGATAGATAAAAGAATAATGTACATATTTGAGGGTATGTACGAGTTTTACATTACATTACATATAAGGAAAATGTGGTGTATATCTATGTAATAAATAGAAATAAAAATCAATGAGTACAATTACCTTTCTGTTTTGTTACAACAAAAAAAAAAAGTACAGTAAATCAAAAGGCATAAAGAAAATGTAATGATGTTCAGATAAAAGATACACATTGTCGTCACTTGACGTTTTAGACATTGTACTTGTAAAAGATATATTTTGAAAGTTTTTGTAAAAAAATGAATTTATGGTTTTTTCTTAGTCATTTTGACTTGTACATCCATAAGTATTAGTTCTCTTTTATAATCATCGACTTCAATTTTTTATAGAAATTAATTAGTTATTATATTATTATCTATATTATATTCATAATACAATAGTTTAATATCAATATTTTTAAACCCTAAACAAACATATTATGGAAAATTGTATTTGTATTTTGTTGAAATACTTGTCACGCTCTAATTAGAGATTTTGGAAACCTTTAAGAGTGTATGTACCAGATCCACTCAGTTATGTGTTATATGTATTATGGAAAATTGTATTTGTATTTTGTTGAAATATTTGTCACGCTCTAATTAGAGAGATGGTAAACCCCTAAGAGTGTATGTACCAGATCAACTGAGTTATGTGAATCGATCTTATCTTGTTCGTTTGTCTATTTGTATACCTATCAGTTTATTTATTTTGATACAACTAAAATTGATTTAAAAACTTAAAATTGTTATTAAAAATTTCAATGTATTTTTAAAAAAATCGATCATCTTTTTTGCATTTTTTTTTATTTCTATATGTTAATCCATTAATTTAGTAATATATTATAACTAATTATTAAATTTTTTCTTTTATTAATTTTATAAAGTTAATTTTACAAAGTTAACGATGTGTTATTTTCAATATTAGAATCTATGAATAGCAGTGATTCCCAACCGATGGTACGCAAGATGATTAGAAATGATCCATGAATCAAATTTAATAGGTATATATACATGGCTTGTAGTTTGTCCACTGAGACCACACTTCTTTGAAAATGTTCAAGTAATTATATACCTATTTAATACCTATTATGTAGCCTAATATACCTATTCAGTTATGCAATTCATTACACATTATACCAGAAATGCATAAAGCATAATAAAATATTCATACAGTTGAACTTTATAGTCCCTACTAAAAACAAATATATCATATCAGTGAGATCCACTGATATAGAGTGGCTATACGATTTAATAAATAACATATTTGACCTTGCATATATAAAATATATTTTCTATAACAATAAATTTTAAAGTTTTTAGAAATAATAAACAAAAACCATTTATTATTCTTTTCCATATGTAAATTTTATTAAATTTTATTTTTAATGTTTGAATAATTTTGCAATATTGATGATCAAGTAAACAATAAAATTTTCCACAGCAATTGTCAGTTTCATAAACTAAATAAATTGATATAAAATTTAATATTATTTATTTGTATAATATTTATTAATTTTAAAAATGATTCTTACAAATTTCTAATGTGTTATTGCAGCCTCTTCAAATACTCAATAAATACGTAAATTCAATTAATAAACAACTATTATCAACTGTCAAAAATTAAAGCCTAGTGCATTTTAGAATGCCACTCAAATTCCCCTTATGAATAATTTTGAAGATTTATTATTAAAAAAATAAATAAATAGTTTGGAGAATAATAATTACCATCTTGCAATTATCAAATTTATTGGCAATGAGGAAAGGACGAGAGAAGAAAAAACTAAGAGAATGTGCATGACTTTAATAAATATTAATTAAATGTGATCATTTGTAAATAAATGATCATAAATTTATAATTATCTATTTACGACTTATAAAGTTGCCGGAAAATCACATTTTTATTAACGTGCAAATAAGCTAATAAAGGTACAAAGATACATACACAGTTGTGTATACATTGAAATGTTATAAAAACGTTAAATATACAAATGTAAAAAAAAAAATCTTGCAAGAAAATGACATCAATAAATATATAAATATAATTATTTTTAAAGAAAACACATTAACATATGAGCCGTATGTTAATCGCATATAAGGAAAAAGTAGAGTATTTAATTTAATTTCCACAAAAAAAAATTTATATAAACAAATTGAAAATTAACACTGAAATGGATTTCTTTTAATTTTTGTAATATTAAAGAAATTCGAAAGTTTATTTTAAAATATATTTGCAAATACAATTGACATGAAATGTTTTAACATTAACACATCCCTACGCAATTTTTGAGATATTCACAGTTCATAATCATAAAATTAAATTGGGCTTATTTAATTGCCTTTTCTGCTTTTAAAATACGTTAAAGAAAATAAATATTTTTAAATCTTAACAAAATAATGCCACAATGGCTTTAAATGTTATTTTGGTATATCTTCAAAAAAAAAAAAATTACCTGATTGAGTTTTATTATTATTATATGAGTATAATCGTAAATTCCACTTTGTTATCAAATACTCTTAATACTTAAACAGACTTCTGACGCAATAGATACTTTTTGTTTCATATATATATGTTGTATTAATATAAATATAAACATACTACAGTTATAAAAATAAGTTTATTATGTTATTTGTCATAACATGTTATAAAAATATATTAAACCTAAACATGTTATAAACAGTTCTTTAAGTTTAATTAAGCAAATAGTAAAATAAAAAACATATACTTTAAAAAGTCAGATTTCTTTTTAATGTTGATTAATATCAATTAATTAAATAATTAATAATTAGTTAATAATTAATGTATATAATAAATAATTAATATAGCTAATAAATGGAGTTTAATATTTCTAAGAATTCAACTTCCTAACATTTTAAATAAATTAAAATATGAATTATAATACTTATCAATTAACAACTATAATATTTATTATATATTTTGTATATTTATATAATATTTATGATATAATAAAATATATAATTTATAATTTGTAATATAATATTTTTATAATTTATATATATTTATATCATATAAATCTTATATTGATTTCTTAAAAATGTTATAAAGCAATGTAAAAAATTTCAAACTCTTTTATATTTTAAAAGAAATTTCATTTGCTGCTCATAAAGAAATTTATCTATAAAAATTAGTTTTTATTTAAATAAATTTTTAAACTGGCCAAAGGGCTGTTCTGGTTATTGCCGCAATATCTTATAAGACATTTTTTGGCAAACATCAAAATTACTATTTTAAAAGTTGTAATATGTAATAAAGATTTTGAGAAACACCCACCTCTAGGTCTTATTTGTTATTGACTAAATGCTGCTGACAATGCACTTCAACGTTCCCTAGTTTGCTAGATCGACAACGTCAATTGACAACTTTTTTATAGTCGTACTATAAAACGAATAGTAGTACGTCAATAACATGAAATGCTTGTAGTAACTAATTAGATTTTTGTACTTAACTTTAATTACTTCTATTGTTGTATAATTCAAATAGATTTTTTTCTTACTAAATTAGCCGTGTACTTATTATTAATAAGTGATTAAGTAAGTAATATAATCGAGTGTTAGTTAACTTAGTTTTATTAAAACTCTAAATTAAATTATATTAAAATAATTTCTTTAGAAAGATCGTGAATAAACATGTTAGTCCAGTTGTTATAATTCAAAATGCAAGAATAATAAAACCTATATCAAAAAAATATAATAATATATTAATATAACCTATCATTATACCTACAATATTATGATAATTCTTGATTATTGTTTATTTTTAAAAAATATTTGAATGAACAGTCATACTCATCATTCGTGGTAAAGGAAATGGTAAACATTTATCAAGCATTACTCATACTGTAATATATCAAAGTATAATAACCATATAGACATCAACCGTATCAAATATAAAAGTCAGTCTGTATGTTTCGTAAGAAACCAAGTAAATAAATAAGGAACTAGCAAGCATATGTTAAGGACTTGTCATACTGCAAAAACAGAGAAAAATCGTATAAACGTTATCTATTTCAAATGTTTATATATAAGAGTTAATAATAATATATATAATAAATTGTTATATATATATTATTATATAATAAGATATTTATATATAA